AAGAGGATCCAAGTCAACTTGTTCCTTGTGTCTTCTCCTGTTTGCTTTGCTGGATTTCATTTGAATTCCCAGCTTTGATAATCTGATGCTTCTCTCCATAGGAACCTTTAGTGGCTTGGATGCACTTAAACCTGCATCTGAAATGAGATCTAAAGTATATTTTCTTTGATTAAGAACAATCCCTTTCTTAGATCTAGCCAACTCTAACCCCAGAAAGTATTTAAGTTCTCCTAAGTCCTTGATTCTAAACCTTTGATGTAAATGATTTTTAATGTCATTAATCCTGTCAATACTATTTCCAGCAACCACAAGATCATCTACATATGCCAATACTACAGTAATTTCATGTTTGTTTTGTTTAACAAAGAGAGAATAATCATATCTACTTTGTCTAAACCCCCCTTGTATCAAAGCCTCAGTAAGCTTTGCATTCCATTGTCTAGATGCTTGCTTGAGACCATATAAAGATTTGTTCAGCTTACATACTTTTGTGCCTGCAAACTGATCAAATCCTTGAGGTATTTTCATGTAAACTTCCTCATGGAGGTCCCCCTGCAGAAATGCATTGTTGACATCCATTTGAAATAAATGCCAACAATGCATGGCTGCAAGAGTTAAAATACACCTAACAGTAACCATCTTCACAACTGGAGAAAAGGTTTCAAAATAATCAATTCCTTCTTGTTGACTATATCCTTTGGCCACTAAGCGGGCCTTATATCGTTCTACACTACCGTCAGAGTTATATTTAACTTTGAAGACCCACTTACACCCAATGGCCCTTTTACCTTGTGGAATATCCACAATCTCCCAAGTGTGATTCTGTTCCAGTGCCTGCATTTCATCTCTCATGGCACTCATCCACTTGGGATCTTTTACTGCATGCTCAAAGCTGTATGGCTCAACAATATTGTCAGTAGACATCAAATATTGTTTATAATCAGCAGAAACATGAGCATAAGTGATATAGTCATGCAATGGATATCTACATTTTACCTTCTGCCTGGCAGCCACTACATCTCCCAAGCAAATATAGTCATTCAGCCAAGCAGGAGATTTTCTGTCCCTGCTTGGTCGATGTGAACCTTCCATGTGGTGTTCAGGATCAATATGAACTTCATCACCATGATCATTATATTCAGTAGTATTAGGATTAGTAGTAACACTGGTCTGTTTGGAACTAGACTGATCAGGAACATTTTCATCATACAAAAAATAATCTGAAACAGATTTACCAATTCCATTCTCTGAGGTACCAGACGAGGCATCTTTGAAAGGAACTTGTTTTCCACAAAGTTGACATGCCTACTTACAAATAGAATCTTTGTTTTGAGGTTATATAATAAGAATCCCTTTTGACTCACGGGATAGCCCATAAAAATACAAGGTTCAGCCCTAGGTTGAAATTTATCAAGATTATTTTGAGAGACAGCGAAAGCAAGACAACCAAAAACTCTCAAATGATTCACCTCAGGTTGTTTTTGATATAGAACCTCAAAGGGGGTTTTTGTAATGCAGACCTTTTGAAGGAGTTCTATTAATCAAATAGGAAGCAGTTTTAATACTTTCTCCCCAGAACTTATCGGAATACCAGATGAAAATAAGACTTCGGGCCACATTAAGTAAGTGCCTATGCTTACGTTCAACAACTCCATTTTGTTGTGGTGTATATGGGCAGGTTGTTTCATGAATAATACCCTTGTCAGTGAAAACAGTTCTCAGTTTGCTGTTAGTAAATTCTAACCCATTGTCAGTTCTTATTCGTTTTATCACAGCTGAAAATTGAGTACTAACATAAGTCATAAAATTTAACAGCAGCTGAAAACTATCATTTTTATTGATCATCAAGAAAGTCCAAGTACATTTGGAGTAATCATCAACAATAGTAAGGAAATATCTGTGTCCTTTATAGGTAGGCTCCCTATAGGGACCCCAAATATCAACATGTATCAATTCAAAGCAACAAGAAGTAACAGAAACAGAATGAGGAAAAGGGAGTCTTGCTTGCTTAGCAAGAGGACAAACATCACATTTGGGACTGGAAAAATCTATAATATCTTTCCTTATCATATCTAGATGCTTGAGAACTTCTAAAGGTGCATGCCCTAGCCTATAGTGCCATAGTTGAGATATCTCCTTCTTTGTCCCATTGGACTGAAATTCATAAGGGCATTGTCCAAATTTTAAAATTTTCCCAATCAAGTACAGTCCACTACAGATTCTACCAATCACCAGAGACTTCCCAGTTAAAATCTCCTGCAATGTACAAAACTCAGGGTAAAAAGAGACAATGCATTGTAGGTCCTTAGTTAATCTAGACACAGAAATGAGATTATAACAACATGCAGGAGTATAATAAACATCAGATAATATAATGTTAGCAGAGAGTTTTACTGTGCCAGTATGTGTTACTGTGATCTTATCTCCATTTGGTAACCTAATTTTTCTAAGAGGTCCAGAGTAAACCGTAGCCTTATCTAACATAGTAAGACTGCTAACAACATGACACGATGCTCCTGAATCTAATATCCAATGGGTTCTACAAAGATCAGAGGAAAGTGCATTAATATTACCAGAAATGTGTTCCTCAATATAGTCAGCCGTGCCGATTACTTCTTCATTAGCATCAGTTTTGAGTAGTTGCAGTATCTTATTATACTGCTGCTGTGTAATGGAGGACTGCGTCCCAAGACTTGCTGAAGGTGCAGATGAACTAGATTTGGACTCTGCTATTGCTTGATTCAAGTGAGGCGTTGGAACCCTTCGACCTTTGAAGTTAGGGGGATATCCCACCAGCTCAAACACTGTTCTCTCTTGTGACCCCGCCGGCGATGGCAGTGACTACACTCATCTTGTGATCTTCCTCTCCCACGTCCTCTACCTAGTCCTCCCTCCTCTAGTTGCAGCGGCAGTTGCCTAAATGGGTTATAGGACTGATGTGAGGATATAAGTCGCTGGTCTTCATCTTGGGCACACCATGGCATATGCCTGATTAACATTCGGTAAAGGAGACATAAGAAGAATTTGTGACCGGGCTTGCTGAAAATTGTCGTTTAATCATCCCATAAGAAACTGGAAAAGACGTTGCTGCTGGACTATTCTGATATATTCCCTGGCAGTATCGCACTTGCAGGTAGGTAAGGGTACTAGCAACGAATATTCATCCCATAACTCTTTGAGTTTGGTAAAATACGCAGATACCGTGAGAGTCCCCTGAGTCATAGAAGAAATTTGTTTCAGCAGAGAATAGATTTTGGCACCATCAACTTTATGAAATCTTTCTTTGAGATCATCCCACACGGCATGTGCATCATCAGCAAACACAATACCATTAGCTATTTCCTTGTCAACAGAATTAATAAGCCAGGAAAGAACTACCGCATTACAGCGGTCCCATTGTTCCTTATGGTGCGGTTCATTTGCCCGAGTGTAACTACCCTCAATGAAAGCCAGCTTATTTTTCCCTTGTAACGCCAGCCGCATGGCTCTGCTCCAAATAACGTAATTACTGGAGCCGATAAGGATTTGGGAGACTAAGGTGGTGGCTTGGGTATCCGACGGATGCAGAAAAAGTGGATGATTTGGATCAATCACTGAAGCGTTGGAAGTCGATTTTTCACTCATCGTGGGAGGTTCTTGAATAATCTTTGATCGGTAAAACTAGAGTGAAACTCTGGGAAAATTGGCTCGAGTCGATCACTGGCGCAGCGGATGACAGAACAATCGGAAACGTAGTTGTCTTCAGGATCTCAGTGATGACAGATGATGGAATCTTGATGTGTCTTGATGGAGGAGGCGCAGAAAGATTAGTTGAGAAGATGCAGAGAGATTGAAACTCACCTCCGTACCAGATGACAACGATGTAATCGCGGGAGTCTTCGGAGTCGCAGTGATGGCGGTTCCTAAAATTGCGATCTGGCTTGTTAAGAATCAATCGAAATGGCGTAGTCACGAACCTTTCTTGATGATCCGAGTACTACTGATAGCGCCGAGATCAGTATCTCTGACGCAGAACAAAAATAAGAAACCCTGCTAGATCACAGATTGGGTTTCGGGTATTGCAGACGGTGTTCCCGAAACGACTGTGTTGCAACACGGTGATGTTCTGGCGAGGAGGCAATGGGGCCTTCGACTTTCGCCTTTGCACGGTGGTGATTTCTGGCGAGGAGGCAATGGGGCCTTCGACTTTCGCCTTGCAAACGGGCTCAATCACTGAACCTGATGCTCTGGTACCATGTGAGACGGAGCCGAACAAGTCACTGGACTAGACGGAAAAATACCGATCTGAATATTATTGAACAATCAACCAATATTTATACAACAGTTATGAACACCCACAATGGGCTTACAGCCCAACACATCAATACACTGGACACCTATCTCTTAACAACATACGTGCATTTGCTATGTAAAATGTTGGAATATATACATATATAATAACTTGTGTTAACCGGAATTGAATACATTTCTGGTTTAAGGAGCAATTTACTATTTAATTATTTTATTTTTTCTCTAATTCTAATATTCTTAAGCATATTGAAGCTCTAGTTAGAAGTTCTAATTAACAAGCAACACAGAGGTTTGGGATTCATATTACATACAACTCGACTTAATCAAAGTCATCAAATAAGAAAAGGAAATCTCCCCTTTTGAATTCCTCAATCACTAATTTCCTATATCAACTTGACATTTTTATAATATGTATACATTAATTAAGTTGTCAATGGAAGACGCCTTCAACTATAATTACCACACGTTTTGGCTGCCTCAGTAAGAGCTTCCTTCACAATTCTCCGCCTATAAATACTAACCCTCCAACATAGCTCTCTCCACCTCAAAATCCTTCTCAAACCCTCACTCAGAAACTCCTCTCTCCCTCCCTCTCTCTCTCTCTCTATATATATATATATCATTGTCCTCCAAGTTCCTTTCATACAGAGATATATATATATATATAGCAGAAAAATTCAGTTATTCAATTCCTCTGCAATAATACATTAATGGCTAATCTACATATGAGTAGTCTATTACTGTTTGTCATTGTGGTAGTTCTCTCATCTTCGTCACTGGTTTCTTCATCTTCTTTGAAGGTGGGCTTTTATAAATCATCATGTCCATCTGCTGAAGATATAGTAAGAAAAGCCGTGCACAAAGCTGTTTCTGCCAACCCCCGCATCGCTGCTGGCTTGATCAGAATGCATTTCCACGACTGCTTCGTGAGGGTAAGTTCCCATACATATACCCGAAAATTTCACTCTATGATTGCTTGAATTTCTGTGTAGAATTCTCATGATGATTTATATGTGTTGTATATACAGGGTTGTGATGGCTCTGTGTTAATAGAATCTACACCTGGAAATATAGCTGAGAGAGACCATCCAGCCAACAACCCTAGCCTACGAGGCTTCGAGGTGATTGAGGAAGCCAAGGCTCAAATTGAAGCTGTGTGTCCTCAGACTGTTTCATGTGCAGACATTGTTGCTTTTGCTGCTCGAGACAGTGCCTATAACGTTGGCGGAATCAACTATAATGTCCCCGCAGGACGAAGAGATGGTCGTGTCTCTATCATGGGCGAAATCCAAGGCAATTTGCCTCCACCCTTCTTCAATACCGAGCAAAACATCGAGCTTTTTGGACGAAAGGGATTATCAGTGGACGAAATGGTGACACTTTCAGGAGCCCATTCCATTGGTGTATCACACTGTTCTTCCTTCTCCAATCGCTTATACTCTTTCAATGCTACACACCCACAAGATCCTTCGATGGATCCTACGTTTGTTGAAATGCTGAAAACTAAGTGTCCACCACCAAGCAACAACATTAATAATGGTGGTTTTAGTGATCCAACTGTTTCACTCGAAGCTTCGACCCCGAACCGTTTGGATAATAGATATTACTCAGGACTGGAGAATCATAGAGGCGTGTTGACTTCAGATCAAACATTGTATGAAAGTAAGTTGACGAGGCAAATGGTGGCTCACAATGCCAAAGATGGCTCAACCTGGGCCTATAAGTTTGCTAAAGCCATGGTTCACATGGGTTCGATAGAAGTGCTCAGTGGCTCACAGGGCGAGATCAGAAAGCGATGTGGTGCTATTAATTAATTAAAAATAGCTCTTTCTCTATTCTGCATCAGAATCTAAAAATGAAAATGTTCATATCTCCTTTTTATTTTTTCTTCTTTACAGAAAAGATTGGTTCGTTTTCTGTCGTAATAAGGTTTCATTTGGCTTTGAGTCCGTCCAATTGTGTGTATATTTAGCTTATTACCAACTCTAATAATGTCCTGCAAATGTAATAAGTGCTTGCAAAATAATGAAGGGATTCAGTAAGTCTGTCTTTTTCTTCTTCTTTTTCCTTTTGTTGTTGTTTGGTTAGTTGTTGTTTTTAGGCACTTTTTTTTTTTGTTGCACTTAGCAGGTGAAGAATATGTTGTGTTTATGCCAATTTTTATAACTATAAATATTTTAAATATGAAGGAAATATATATTTTTATCCAATCCCTCCTATTGTTGATTTTGAGCAAAATTTTTGATCATGTGGGGCCATTACTGGAAATTTGCAGAAAAGTACAATTAGAAGCCGGATAATAACAATTAATGAAGAACTCTAAAACTGAAAAATATCAATTAAGGAATATGGCTCTTTATTTAAAATATTATGAACCAAAATGCCTAGAAGGGGGGAAAAAAAAGGTCGTGATTTTCAAATATGATACTCCTGTTATCCTAAACATATGATTTCGTTAGAGAGTTGGTTTAAGTCCTTAAAGTAAATTAAAATGTTAATTCATTTTACCTTTTATATTTATTATTTTTTAAAATTAATTGGTCTAAATTATAAATTAATATATAATTTAATGTTATATAGGGATATTTCACAGAAATCATTTCAATTTTGTTATAATTAGTTTGTTTAGCTTCTTTAACTTTTTCAAATTAGTTAAGCAGCTCTTACACTAAAAAATATAGAGAGATATTAAAGTTTTCCACATTCCTCGATCTCCAACTACAATATCACATCTTGCGCCCTAAATTAGTATCTTCCTTATCTAAGGCCAGTAACCGTTAACTTATAGCATATTTTAGTGTATGCAGGCTATTTCCCGATCCCAAAATAATAAAACTAATTTACAGGAAAAATACGAATGTCTTGCACATGGAGAAAAAATTAGGTGCTTCGGTTTATATACATTGTGAATTTATTTTCTTAGAGTACGTTATTTTTTCTTTTGATAAGCTTTCTTAGAGTACATTAATCATATATGTTTAAATGCATATCTAGGAGTTTATTTTCAGATGAAACATAATATTATTCAAAATAGATATCATCCACATATATTACAATATTTGTGAAACAATATATATAATAACTTATGATGCTACATATATAAATTAAAATAACATTTTTTTTGTAAGCGTGAATTATAGTAATATTTAGACCTTGAAAATATTTGCCTACTTAGTCCTACTTTTATTTACTACTTCTGATTTTTAATATAAGACTCATTTAACTAATTTAAAAAGATCAAGAAAGTTACTAAATTATTTTAAAATATTTATGATTATAATTTTTCCAAACTAATTTGCTTTACTTATAAATTGACATATAATTTAATGATATATATAATATTTTAGAGAAATCATGTAACATATGTTATAATTGAGTAATTTTTTTAATTTTTTTAAATTCATCGACTAAATTTTATATTAAGCAGTACGTAGTACTTAAGCATGGAATGGAAGCAGCTATATGATAATTCAAACAAGCAACCTTGAGGCTTGATGGGACCAAGTTTTATGTAGGACTTGGTCAAAGTCCATTTACTGCAACATGCTGCGGCCATCAACAAAGAAAACAGTTGCCTAGCCCTCGCTGAATCGATCAATCAGCAATTTCACATATCAACTTGTTATTTTAATAGTGCCTATTTAATAAGTGTTTCAGAGAAAGACATCCCAACTACAACTACGTACCACACGTTACGGCTGCTACTTCACAAATCTCAATCCATAAATAGAATCCAACATAGTAACTTCCCTCCACCACAAAATTCATACTCTCACGGTCATATTTATAAGATAAAAAAAATCCTATTTATAATTCATATCAACAAATTTTTTATATGAATGTATTGCGTATCATTTTACTTTTCATTTGTTGTTATCTCTAGATTGTTAATTCACTGAAAAGTGTATATATTAAGCAAGGGTAAAATTGAAAAGTTATTAAATTTTAAGGTATAATTAATAAAGCTAAAAGTGTAAAAGTGGCCGGATGATTGAGGTTTTTTTTTTTAAGGAGTTTAAGAATGTAGTCATCTTTACTTAGAGATGTGTGTAATCCAAAGCATCCTACTTGCGGTAGTATCAACTTTCATTAATATTTCCAACTTTATTCATTGGAAGGAACAATAAATTAATGAAAAAGTTAATCAATATGAAATGGGAACCAGTTTCAGTACTCATCATCTTAATAAGCATCCTAAACTCATCAAATATAAAAAATTAAGTTCTTATTTAAATAGTCCAGATTTTAAAATTTTAATTAATTATTTTTAAATAAAGAAATTATTTTTGGAAAAATAATAGTTAAAATATTATTTTTAATTTTTTATTCTATATCTATTAAAATAATTATTTTGAACAAATAAAATAAAAAAGAAATTATATCTGGATCATCCAAATAAAATTTAGATAGTCTAAATTTAATGAAGTGAGGGTGCTCATCTTAACTGGTTCCCACGGAATGCTGCATCATAGTCAAAATATCAAGTTTTAAGATACAAAGGGTGGAACAGGGAGATCGAACTGCATTGTGCTCCACGCGATGCACTCGTGTGCAGATTTCCTTGCCAAAGGCGCTCAGTATCTGAGCAGCAACATGCAACTTTTGCTAAATACACACCCAGGATGCCTCACAGTCTCACACTCACGAGGGATGATATTTCCCAGCAACTCGCGTCTTGAGTTTTCCCGATTTGGCTCTCTCCACAAGTTATTTTAACTTGCCTATTGTATTCCCAAAAAAAAAAAAAAGATACAAAAGGGTAGAAGGAATGGCAGAGAAATTAAATTAATTCGCTGAACATTAAGTATTCTTTACACGTACAAAAGAATAATTGAAAAAAAGAATTGAAAACCAAACTGAGGTATGAACAAATTGTTTCCGAGCACAGCAAAGCATAAATATTAGATGTGTTAATTAGTTGACGACGCTGCATGTCTTTCTGATCTCGCCCTCTGAACCAGCGAGCACTTCTATCGAACCCATACGAACCATTGCCTTGGCAAACTTGTGAGCCCAACTCCAACCATGCTTCGCATTTAGCAGCGCCATGTTCCTTGTGGACTCACTTTCCAACAATGTCTGGTCTGAGGTCAACAACCCACGATGACTCCTCAGTGCCACATAGTACTTGTTGTCCAATCTACTAGGCGTAGCAGCATCAAGCACAACCTTCGGATCTTCACCGCCATTGTTGCTGGAAGGCGGACACTTTCTTTTCAACAGCTCAACAAAGGCAGGATCCATGGAAGGATCCTGGGGATGAGTGGCATTGAAGGAGTAGAGACGACCGGAGAAGGAAGAACAGTGAGATACGCCAATGGAATGAGCACCAGAAAGAGTGACCATTTCGTCCGCTGATAATCCCTTTCGTGCAAAATTGTCAATGAGTTGCTGTGCGTTGAAGAACGGTGGGGGCACAGTGCCTTGGACTTCGTCCATGATTGAGACACGACCGGCTCTTCGTCCTGCAGGCACATCGTAGTTTATGTGTCCGACTTTCTGAGCACTGTCTCGAGCAGCGAAAGCGAGGATGTCGGCACAAGAAACAGTTTGAGGACAGACAGCCTCAATCTGAGCCTTGGCCTCATCAATGACCTCGAAGCCACGTAAGCTGGGGTTGTTTGCCCGGTGGTCTCTCTCAGCAGGATTACCAGGTGTAGATTTGAGCAGCACAGATCCATCACAACCCTGTGTGTATATATGAATCGATGACATGAGAATTATATATATATATATATATATTTGAGATAAAGATAGAAGGTAGGAAATGGGTGAGACGGAACTCACCCTGACGAAGCAGTCATGGAAATGCATTCTGATGAGACCAGCAGCGATTCCAGGATTGGCAGAAACAGCTTTGTTGACGGCTCTCTTCACGATTGCTTCTGCTGATGGACATGTCAACTTGTAGAAGCCCACTTTGAGTGATGCTGAGGAAGAGGCCAATACTGATGAAACTGAGAGAATCAAAACGAAGATGGAGAGGAATGCTTTAATGTGATCCATACGTATAATCTCGAAGGTGTTCAAGTTAAAACTGGATTTACTCTGTAGGATGCTAATAAGGAAATTGGAAGATTAATGATATGTGGGTGATGATGAGTTGTGAATGGAGGGCTTGAGTGAAAGGTATTTATATATATAGGAGAAGGGATGGAGGAAGGTGAGAGTAGGTTTTACTAAGTTAACAAAACGCGTGTGGCTATTGGCTGTAATAAGGCTGCAAGAACAATAAAATATAGAGCTGAATGGGTTGAAGCTGTCTCCTTTTGACCATATCAGCACGTTTGGCTTGTCCTCCAGGAGAGTATTTCTACTGGCAGCTGACACATTAATTAATTAAATAGTCCATTTCGCTGCCACTGTCACAAATTGAATCATCAGTTCGTGTTTGGGGAATGAATTTTTCTGTTCTCTTGAAGACGGCTGTTTGGTCTTTTAATGAACAAAGGTTGTTAGAAGTATAATAACATTTTAAGGATCCATATATATAATATTAATTTATTCTGTTGATTGATGAACCTTCATTTTCAGAGTATTTAATTCTTAATTACGGATCCATGGGATTTTTGGGTCATGTATATAAAAACTTGTGATTATAGAGTAATGGACAAATTAACTTGTGATTTACATCACGCGGTCAATGTTTTTTAATCTTCCAAGTGGACTGCTTTTATGCAGTCAGTTGGCTGACACCTTCCATTTCTTACGTTTATTCTCACAAGCAACACGGCCGTGCCTTTTGGATGAATTGGTTACCATTTAATTTGTTTAGTTTGGACATCCCATATAAATGCCACGACTTCGTCTAAGTCATTGATGGCCCAAAGTATGAAACCGAACGACGAAATCGTCTTGGATGACTTTGCCTGATTTCACAAGTTCTCTATTTTGTTTCATATTTGCTAATATATAGTTAAAGACAGTTGTTTGGTCTGTTAATGAACAAAGATGAATTAACTGTATAATAACATTTTAAGGATTAGTAGTATTAATTACTACTACCTCCGGTTCTAATTATAAAAGCCATTTGACTAATTTGAGGAAATTAAGAAAAGAATTTAAGTTAGTTATTTGTAATAAATAGGTATTGTCTTTCCTAAAATATCCTTACTAATCAAGTATGTTAGCTAAAATTCTAATTATTAGAAGGACTATCTTGAAAAAAATTGAATAAATATGAGAGACAAAATAGACTGGGGTCTTATATTTAAGACCAACATAAAAGTAACGGAGTCTTATATTAAGGACAGAGGTAGTACTATTTATTGATGAACCTTCATTTTCAAAGTACTTAATTCTTATGGATCCATATATAAATATAAACTTGTGAGTTTGGAGTAATGGACAAATTAACTAACTTGTGATTTGCATTACGCGGTCAATGTGTTACTATATATATGGTTGTTGCAAGTGGACTGCTTTTATGGCATTCAGTTGGCTGGCACTTCCATTTCTTACATTCCTTCTTACAAGCAACACGGCCTTGCCTTTTGGATGGATTGGTTACCATTTACTCCGTCCAGGTTACTTCAAACGCCGCAGGGATGGCCCAAAACATGAAACCAAACGACGAGCTCGTCTTAGATCACTTTGCTTGATTTCACAAGTTCTCTATTTTGTTTCATATTTAGTACACCTCCGGTATTTAATATAAAACTTATTTAACTATCTTAATTAAATTAAAAAAATTAGTTAAGTTAGGTAATAATCATAAATATAGCATATGTTTCCCAAAATACCCTCAGTTAAAACTTATTTAAAAAACTGACATTTCAAAAAATACTTCAAATTATTTTATTAAAAAATATAAAATGTTAGAATTGATATATGAGTGGAATTAATGAGTAATAAGTACTCACTCACTTTATAAAATATATAGATGTATTATTAATGAGTAATAAGTATTATTGTGGTATTTAATTATTTAATAAATAGGTCTTATATTTAAGACCAAGATCAATCTTCTAGTTAGATCTTATATTAAAGACTGGAGGAGTAATATATAGTTAAAATTACCTAAATAATATGGTAGAATAATCAATTTTATTATATATACATATAAGTATTTTCTTTATAGTAGTAATTAAGGTCAATATTGTCTTTATAAAATTAGTCTTTTTTTTTCCTCCTCTTTATTTTCTTCCACTCAACCAGGCGTCAGAAGAGAAAATCACATCTATCCCTTCACTTTTCTCATATATATTTCAATTTTCTCTCCCTCACATTTTCTCTCTTCAGCTAGCGTAGCACAAGGTAAGATATATGGAATAAATATACACATTTTGTCACAAAAATAAAATATTAATGAAACACACAGCCCTCAGCTAATTTTATGAATGACTTCGGGTTATTTGATTAGAAACTAAACCATAATTTTAAAAATAATTTTACAATATACTTCATAAAATAAGTATTTTAAAGATGTTTTGTTTTGATTTACATAAAAATACTTTGTAATCATACCAAACCCCTCGTTGGTCTGAGTTGAGTTAAATGCCCTCATGGGGCCGCCGTGGAATTGAGAACAAAACCTCTCACCGAACTGTGTACTATTTTCTTTGATCTGACGTTCTACGTACCCAAAATTTTTTTTTTTTTTGGACAGAACTACGTACCCAAAATTGAAAACACACAAAACGTATAATTCGGAACAGTCTGATGATGAAATGTTCAAAGTCAAACAACTTCACCTGCAATACACACGTTTCGGTTCTCGATCTCCAGTCTCTACATCAATATCCCACAAAATCTTTACCCTTCCACAACTTCCTTTAGTTTTCTTTCTTTCTTTCTTTCTTTGTTTGTTTTTTTTTTTGGCCAACTTCTTTAGTTTTCTTCTTCTGCTAAAAGAAATGGTGTTGGTTTATAAATGGTTCCCTTTTTTCCCTTTTATTTTTGCCTTAATAGTGTTTTATATAAAGAAAATTCATTCATTGGTTGATCGCATTTTTATCTGACCTGGTTCAAGTGTAGATGCAATAAGGGGAATTATTCTCTTTCAATATTAAGTTTTTGAGATCATTAAATGAAATTCGGAGGATTTAATGAAATTCTTAGTCTTACACAGGATCATTAGAAAGCTTTTCCAGATCAAATTACAATTGTTTCAAGGATAGATGGACCCAATGTTGTATTAATATCCCCCTCAAATGTCTGAGATGAAGGTACTTCTTCCAATGTTGATTTTCTTTAAACTATTTTTTCATTCCTAAAACTAAAATCAATTTGATCGCAATTAACTTCACATAAAAATAAATAAATATTATGAAGTACTATTCTAACCTGAAAGAATCATGTGTATACATTTTGTATTAAAGTATATACCTATGCTTTATTAAGGACATACATACGGCAATTATGTTAAAATAAAATTTAAAAAAAAAAAAACTATAACAGTGCTTCGCCTTTTCTTTCATATTTGGAGATAGGGTCACCGGTCACATTCTAAAGTAAAAAACTGTCTTTCTCTGCCCAGGCCTTCAGCCGTTTCGAACAAAGCAAAAAGAATGAAAGGAAAGCATGACTAGAATTTTGTACAAGAGAAAAAATTGAAAAGTTCCAATTAGTTTTACGAAAACTGCTTAAAATTCCTGCAAAATTTATTACCCAAAGATACGTAAAAACTTTTCTTCAGCGCTATGTAACATAGTTTCAGTTATATATAAATGTTTTTCATTTTGCATTAAATATAAACTGCACACAGCTCAAACATAATTACACGTGGATCCTCCAAGAAATTTTGCAGCCGCAAATTTTCCAACAGATTTTCCTAATATTTTTCCTTCAATAAACACCAAATAGATAGTCTTGTCGATCAACGTTACTACCTTCTCTTTCCTCCCTAGATAACAATGTGTTTGTACTGCTGGTGTTGGGGAACTAGTATTAACAGGTCTCAGCACCTCGTTCAGTAGCTACCTAGTTTGTTCTTTACCACACCCCCCCCCCCAACAAAAAAAAAAAAAAAATTGGCCCTTTGACCCCTTTCAGCCACCGGAGCAAAAGAAACTAGCTCAGCATTACGCGATAAGGCCTGATGAATTTTACTATGCAGTATACATTTTACCAGGAAGGAATCTTAATGCGCATTGCAAAATGCAAAAGCGCCATAGACAGAAGTTGCTGCTTAGAGAAGGGGGCTTCTCAGTGTCAGCCAGCAGGTGATACCGAAATCTCAAAACTCAGCAATTAAACCTGAGCATCCATCCGATTGATCATTTGAAAAATAGCCCGTTAAAATCATCTCCTAGATGGGTTTCCCCCTCGAGGCGGAGCCTCATATCCACCTGCAGCACCACGTGCAGGTGGTGTTGCAGACCCGTATGGCATATTGTTCACCGGCACAGCAGCATGTCCAAGTGGTGGGGCAGCACCACCTCTAGACTGTGCATCATAGCCAACTGCTCTGGATGCATCATAAGCAGCTCCTCTCTGTGGATCATATCCAGTTCTCTGAACATCATAACCAGCCAATCTCTGTGGATCATAAGCACCCCTCTGCGGATCATAAGAAGGCATTGCAGATGCATCATAACCAGGCCCTCTTGGAGCATCATAACCAGTCCATGCAGGAGCGGAGACAGGCTGAGCTCCGACATAGGGAGGAGCAGAGGCAACACTAGCAGCTGTTGCAACCCCACCGCTTGCAGCAGGGAGGGGACCACGTCCCTGTTAACAAGAGCAGAGTTATTAGGCAAAATACGTGGATGACAAGTCGGTAAAGTAAAATTGGACTACGTCTCAGTTCAACCTATAAACCATATAGGTATAGCCCTTCTGATTGGTAACGTTCACTGTCATCAGACATACAGGGTCTACCTTTTTACCATAGCATTTCATCACGAAAACAGAAGATTTGACTGCAAACATCCATGCCATGCTTATAACGCTTCTTAATCAGTCCCCTAACTTTCTAACGCACATATGATACGTAGTCCTCCGTACCCATTTTGCACCAACCAAAGAAGCTCATAAAACAATAATGCACATTTGCATAATAATAATCAGTCCATGTATCTTAAAAGTAGAGAACGAAATCATAGGTTGACCGATTTCATTATCTAAAAGTAATAAGAAAATCAACCCTCCGTCCCTCCGTTAAAGTAAATCGGGCCAATCAAAATGGTCATGACAGATTGACTGATGTCTAAAGGAAATCAGATCAAACAGAGTCCTTTTAATTCAAGTTAACTATATTAATCACAAAATCATATCATAATTGCTTTTTTCTTTTTCGGCACCAGAGACTATCTTCCCAGCATGTGACATCATCATAGCATATGCTACAGTCATGGTCTTACGGAAGCTCATCAAACATTAGGAAGATTGGCCAAATTAAAAGGCATTAACAATTAGTTCAAAGATCTCAATTATGCAGAACAAAATCACAGAGATCAGTGACACTGGAAAGTGAACTCGAAACTTTCAGTCCCATAACAAAGTTAAGCAAAGCATTTACACGCACCAGAGCAGCAACATAACCATCTTCATATGCATTTTGACCACCAGGAAGACCAGAGACATCATTCTCATTATTTCCAGGAGTGCCACCATATGGGCCTATGACATTTGATAGTAATCTGAAGGTCAAACTACATAATCCATGAAAACTTAAAAAAATGACCATAACAGAAAGAGAATATAACAAGAGATACAAACCATTTCTTCTATCAACGTTAGTAGTGTTTCCTAACTCGGCTCTAAGTTTTTCCACTTCCCTTGCCATAGACATGTAGTTCTTTTCCATCACCTGCAGTGAC